CAAATCAATCATTTTCGGCGAAACAGACGCACCCATATTCCCAGACTACTTGTCAATATATTTTGCTAAAGAGTAGGTTGTTGACTTCAAGAACACTTATTAGATAACTAAATAAAGAGAATTTGTAATTTTCAATGCACTGCCTTCGCTCATAATTTGATAAGGTTCACTGTTGTAATTTGATAATTACATAATATTCCATTACTTAGCAAATGTGAATCTATTCGTGGGACCCTATTTCATTGCTTCTAACTTCTATCAAATAACGTGTTTAAACATATTTCCATAGACAGCCCTGTTCACTCTTGATTTGATTGTTAACAAGAGATTGGATAGTCAAAATCGTTAACTCGTGGGTGGATAAGTTTGCTTGTGTAAAGTTTTCAATACGTTGATTGTATATGCTCTTATTTTTTCCCGATTATTTCGTCCCTTCTCGCCCAAAAAGAAAACGAATATATGAACATAGTATCTGTAAGCTAAAATGGAAAAAGTCTACAGTGCAATAATCAAAATAGCTAGACACATCTCTACAGGATGTGCGTAGGACGAGAATATAAGTATCCAAACATACTTCGGATAATTTGACGGTTGAGTTGTTTAGCCATAATATGATGTTTGTTCTAAGTTCTAAACCGGAAAACATATTGCATGGTTTTCAGATCATGTAAACCAAGTCGAGGCGTGACATATTGATAAGACCTTTATACTTAATATAACAGCATGAGATATTCACTAGTGCACTTTCTTTTCTTTTCCCTCAAAATAAGATATTCATTGACTTAGTATTCATGGCTTTGTTCTTTTATATAGGTGTATCCGCTGATGGCAGCAATGACATTTGTGACAAGTATGTGCATATTCCAGCTCACAAGAAATGTTCTCTGGAACCCTGATGTCAGGTAACAAGCACTTTCTGATACAATTAAGTTCCATGAAAAGAGTCGTCGATGACAATTAATTTACAACATAATCTATTGAATTTCTTTGGCTCTTTCTTCTTCTTTTTTCAGTTTTTTTTTTTGCATTTTTTTGAACTGTTCACTATAATACAGAATCAACAAGACACATAGAGGCATGGCAGTGTTGGACAATGCAGAAGAAGGGAAGAGGTACTCTGAGCACGGGCTCCGCAAGTTCCTCCGCACTCGGCCGCCGGAGATCATGCCGACCATCAACCACTTCTTCTCCAAAGATAAATCTGCATAATTGTACACCTTGTAAAAAAACCTAGCTTAAAATTATGTTCAGTGTACTTGTGAATGAAACTTATGATGTGTAACTAGATCTGTAATGTGTGATTTGCAAACTCTATGATTGGAAGATACTGTAGATGCCATTCTTGTTTTCTATTTCGTGGACATGAATTAAATCAGGCTAAGGTATCGGCGGTCCTTCATTTTGTAGCCACTAATTTGGATGAAGAATTGGCCGTGGGTCCCTGGTGAACATAGCGGCTATGAACCAACAAATGTTCTGTCTATGCCTTGATGGTTTGCACGTTTGTAGCCCACTTAGCTCTTTGTAACTTAAACTAGGATGTCCTATTAATCGAGTGATAAGACCTGATCAATAGGTGGATCAGACCGTGTACCGAGCATATGAGTCTTTGCGTAGGCTCGCCGATGATTTGAGAAATTTTGAATTTTATCCATGAAATGACCGGGCCTGGACGGGCCCAAGAAGGAGTGCCCTTGCTCAAGTCCACTCAATTCGTGCTTCCGGCTTTGTTCAGCTTAGGTGGACCTTGTAGGCTGCCAGGCTCATGGTGGATCGAGTTAGGAGTGAGCGTTGAGAACTTTAAAAGTTTTTAATATTTAAAGTTTTCTCTAGTATTATAACATTATAAAACCTACTTTATGTAAACAATAGCATTGCTTTTATACCGGATGTTATAACTGTTTACCATATATAATTAGCCTCGAAAATTAAAACTAATGTCTTCTAGAATCATTCTAGTCATCATTCATTCTTTTGAACGAGTCCTAAATTTCAAATGACATTTATGCAGAGTGAAGACTTTTGTTTGTTGATATTGATCGAGGATAAAAATTAGGAATTTTAGCAATAGTCTAACATCTATTTCTTAGCTTCATCATATTTAATATACTAGGAAACATAAATTCATAATTTATATACATAAATCCCGCATAGATGGACTAAATTGATGTGACATATCCTCTTATATTATCTAGATGCATGAAGTATCATAAAGGAGTAAAAGTTACAGATTCATACTAATTATGGTTTGATTTATAACATGGAGATATAGGTGCACTTAGAATTAGGTGATCTTCAGAACTATCTAGTTTAACTCTTGAACACAAGATCACATTTTTTTTTTTGAAAAATGATCACACAAGTAATCTTAAAATTAAAAGATTCCTCCAATAATGGAAAGAAAAGAGTAAGTCAAATGAAAGCAAAACCCGTGTTAGTAACGTGACACATCTTTTGATTATCCTTCTTCTTTTCTTTTTCTCGAATTTGTTTTCTCCCTTTATTTTTTTCCCCCTTTCAACTTCCCTGATCCTAATTTAGATTATCAAATGAATAATATCACATTGATTGGTTTGATTGAAGTGGAGGGATGGGAAGAGAAACAAAAAAAACTTTGAATAATACTCATGCAATTCAAAACTAGAACAAAAACCAAATATATTTATGTAAACATTTTTGTTATGTGGGGGCAAATGCCTAACCAAGTAACCTTTCCCAAGCCAACCATATACGTGAACATATTTTTTTGGGCCAAACATATAGGCGATGAGGAGAAGCGTGTGAAAACCTGGAATAAAGCGAATATCTGTAAAGGACAAAGCTGTAATGGACAGTTGCAATCAGTTGCAATCATCCCATTTGTCACGCAACTCTATAGGTAGCATAAAGAAGCTGGAAGTGGACCCTAATACCGATGTGTCCATATTTGTTATCGATTATCTCTCTAATTACGGAGTCACTATTACATGTTCCCGATGCATGTGAGCCCAATGCATGTACACCGTTAGATGATGTGGATTCCATGTGAGACCCACTTCAACAACGGCGAATGTGGATTGAGGTCACATAGGTTGGGATCGTGTTGGAATTTTTCCAAATTACTTGTAGATTGGTTGGTGTCAAATGTCATATTGCATTGGCCCACCTTTACATTGCTCATCTCCAGCCGAGAAAATAATTGGAGTCTTTGATTGGATGACCTGCCGTTTGGCTATTTCCTTCCGCTCATAGCATATTCTATGTTTATGCGACCAAGGAAAACAGTGTCGTAATTACAATTAAATCCATTGACAAAAAAAAATGTGATGAAATATAAGCATATTCTTGTTGAAATGTTTTTGTTTTCAATCAGTTATCAATAACAAATTTTCCCTACTTGGGCTTTTGTTGACAAAATCGTTCTACAAAATTGGTCTGTGTCTGTAACTTGTGCTGCAAGATTTGCAACTTGTGTGTTTTTTTATTATCATGCTTCAGTTTGCCAATTGAGTCATTCCGGCCAATTTTAACTAAAAATTATTGACGTAGACGCCAGAAGTCCTACTTGACGGCCAGCGCAGATGTGGACAATTTTTATGATTTTTAAAGAAATTTAATTTTTTTTATTTTATTTTCTTTGCTTTTTTTTGCTTTGTGGCCAGAGAGTCACTAGCGACCCTTGCTGATCGCAAAGGCTCACTAGATTTGGGTAGCCCTTGTGGCGAGCGTCATTGGTGATCCTCGCCACCCATAATGAAAAAAGCAAACAAAAAGAAAAGAAAAGAAAAGAAAGATAAAAAAAATAAAAAAATCAATTTTTTTGAAAAATTATAAAAATCTCCCACGTTACCGCTGGTCATGCCACGTGGGAGGCCAATGTCCAAGTGACTAGAAATACTCAATTGGCAAATTGTCGAAAAGTTTAGGACTCAACTAACCAAATTGAAAGGTTTACGACTAAATTAGCACAAATGCAATATGTTTATGACTTTTTTAGTAATTTTCTCATTAAAAATTGACTAGCTAGTACGACTTGTCCCGCCTTGAGGGGGTTGGGACCAGCTCTCTATCCCAATGAACCTGGTTCTGCTGTCACTATATTTTGTTCTTGTTCACGCATTCTGATTTCTCCTTTCATTCCATCCATCCAAGTTTTGTCTATGATGAGCAGGCCCTTCTCTTCATTGGATCCATTGGATCATGTTGTGGGTGAGATGTCCTTTTTACTTGCATAAAAATCAAACGGTCTGTAATGGAATTTGATGGTCCTGCATCACTTACTAAAAAGAGCGTAACTTCCTAAAACCTACTAAAATCTTTTAGGACCTTGGGGGGTGTTTGTAGCCGTGAGCAGATTGCCGGACACCTTAAATAGCTACATCATCCCTTTGCAGATCTATGGTGTTGCCGGAAAGATGTATCAAATGGGCTCTCAATAACAAGTACTTTGCGGTTTTTATGCAATTTTTTTTGGGTATTACATGTGCTTAATGCTTTCAAAATCAAAGTAACTCTTATTAAACCTGCCTAATAAGTAAAAAGAAGGGACGCGTTAACAAGATCCGTAAAAGAAAAAGGGTTTATACCTCAAAAAACGCCAAATTAGTACACGTGACAAATTTACCCAAAACTAATTTTTTAACCATCAAAAACTCCAAACCAGTACACTTGTAGCAAATTTACCCTTTGTTGGTTTCCATTAAATTGGATTAATAGCGCGAAAAATCACAAACCAGAAGCTCAAACTGATACGCTGTGTCATCCAACTCAACAATTTGACAGTAAAATTTAACAAAAACTAATAGATGGTAAATTTATCAGTGGTGTACCAATTCGGCGTTTTTGGTGATAAAAAAATTAATTTGAGTAAATTTATCATAAATATACAAGTTTGGAGTTTTTCGTGATATTTGACCCGAAGAAAAATCAAAAGCATATACCTTTTTGTTGGTTTCTCGCTATCAGAGCGTGATACATTTCCTTTCTATATTATGGGGCCGATGTTTCCTTGTTCTCCTCTGCGAACAACAAAGTACCAACTTTACATGCATTTTCCATCCGACCAAAGTCCCTCCCACTTTTTCCGAGGAAGATCGCCGTCGAGCCCCACGCACGCAGCACCATCATCGTTTCCCTCCCGTTCACATTCAGATGGATCGTCGCGAATGCCTTCTCCTGCTCGTGCTTTCAGCGACGCTCTTCAGTTTCGGCGCCTCTTGCTCCAATGGTGAATGCAGGGTTCGTACGTCTCCGTCAGATTGTACTTCGGTTTTCGGCATGAGTCTTGGGAAGTTTCTGATTTTGTTGCTTGTGTGGTTTTCTCGTGAATGAAGCTTCTTGATGAATGCTCGAGCGATAGCGACTGCGAGGCCGGTCTCTATTGTTTCTCCTGCCCTCAAGGCTTTTCGGGTTCCAGATGCGTAAGATCGACCATTACTGACCAGTTCAAGCTCTTGGTATTTCTCTCTCCCTCTCAATCTGTAACTTTTTTCTTTGCCTTGAACACGAATTTCTTTTTCTTTTGTGATTGTCGCAATCGACTTTCTCAGTGATATCAGAGAAGTCCAGACTTTATGGAGGGGAGTTGCTTAAATGTTGACCCACTGAGAAATAAGGTTTTTCTATCCAATTCGGCATTTTCTCGAAGTGGGCTAAACAAAAGTTGGAGTAGAGCAGCTGAAGTATTGACAAACATGGAGTTAGGTTGGATGTGTCACCGAGAAATTCACTTTTTGTCTACCCAAATAAAATAGAATAAGAATAAGAAAGCAAATTCACTGTTCTTGTTACATGATCAGCCTAATCTCAACTGCCCATGAGCATTCATCTCGTGTGAAGAAGAATCTGAAGTTTGACGCTCGCAGAGAAATTTGCATAGCTCATGCCACTGAGAAATTTGCTTTTTCTTTTCCAATTAAAACGTTGGTCGATTTGTTGCCGTTTTAAATGTATTCTGGTTGTGTGTGGAAATTCATAGATTTCACGATTCGACATTCGGGCAATGTAATTTGTGCTAAGAACTTGACTGGGTAAAGAAGTAAAGGCCAGAAAATTTCCTGGCATGAGTATTTTCGTTTCCTTCTCTTTTCTTTCTTTTTGGGGGTTTCGGCAGGTGTATTGGAAGGGTTTGACCGGTATATCATCTTGGTCAGTGATTTGATCTGCTTCGTTTAACTTTTTTATTAGAACAATTCTCTTCCTTTAAACAAATATGCATTCTTGACAACCCACAATGCGTATGCTATTGATGGAGAGCCACTCCACACGCCCGTACCAAGAGTGACCTTTACAAATCAAGAGGATACAGTCACTCAACAGCTAAATGTATGACTCTCTGTAAATCCGATTACTCTTTAGCTTTTCCTCATTTTCATTTTCAGGTTGTTTATAGGAACATGATCTCAATTTAATGTTGCCAATGGCGTTTTTCCATTTCCAGAATGGAGTTCGAGGGCTGATGCTAGATACATATGACTTCGAAGGAGATGTATGGTTGTGCCATTCTTTTAAAGGTCAATGTTACAACTTCACCGCATTTGTAGGTACTCTGTCCTTAAACTGATAGTTATCTTGTCCACCCTGTGCTTTTTGATTTTCCTCTTCTCATTGAAAATTTTTCTTTTCTTCCTTCACATATCTTCTTGGTGCACCTCAAATGCTGAGGATCCTTGTTTGCCATGTAGGAACCGGCTATAGACACTCTCAAGGAAATCGAAACTTTTCTATCTGCAAACCCGGCGGAGATAGTCACTTTGATACTCGAGGACTACGTTCAGGCGCCAAATGGATTGACAAAGGTCTTTACTGATGCTGGCTTGATGAAATACTGGTTTCCGGTATCAAACATGCCAAAGAATGGTCAAGATTGGCCGCTAGTTAGTGACATGGTGGCTAATAATCAGCGGCTGCTCGTGTTTACCTCCATCCAGTCTAAGGAACAGAGTGAAGGGATTGCTTATCAGTGGAATTACATGGTTGAGAATCAATGTATGTGCATTGTCAAGTTTACTTAGAGAGAATCTTCTCGGCTATTTGGCCCAGATTTTTTTCAAACACATGATTCGTTGTTGACATGTTGTGTCCATCTATGTGTTGGCGCGTTAATTATTTAGTAATTTGCAGATGGTGATGGTGGAATGCAAGCAGGAAGCTGTCCAAACAGAGCTGAATCAGCGCCTCTTGATGACAGGAGCAAGTCCTTGGTTTTGGTGAATTACTTCCGGTCTCAGCCCATCAAGCTACTCAGTTGCGAGAACAACTCGGGCGACCTCATTAACATGCTTCGGACTTGTTATGGCGCGGCTGGCAACAGATGGGCTAACTTTGTTGCTGTTGATTTTTATAAGGTACAAGTTCTTTTATCTTCTAAATGCTTTTCTCTGTCTATATGACCTTTTGAAATTTAAGAAAGTATCAGGGATATCGTCTTTTCCTCGTATATACTAAGTTGAAACACCCACATATAGTATGCACCTTGGGCTCATGCTCTTGTTTGGGCTAGATACTCAGACACGCCTAGAAGTTGATTATAGTAATATTAATTTTGTCTGACCAAATTGCTCTATAGATTTAAACCTGCATTTTTTGGAATGAAAAAGTTATGGAAAAGCATCAACACCAGAAGCTCTATGCTTTTATGCAGAGGAGCGAGGGAGGAGGATCATTTCAAGCGGTAGACACTCTAAACGGGAAGCTGCTATGCGGATGTGACGATGTGCACGCTTGCGCGGTAAGTTAAACTTGAGGTGCTGATTTATTACCTATGAAGCAAAAAGAATGTTCTCTTCTCAATGTTGGCATTATAGCGGATGCGTGATCCTTGTCAAAAGGTCAAGTCAGCTCGAATGGATGTCCCAACCATTTCGACTGCTTTGATAGTATGGGGAACGAAGCCCGTGTCATAGCCTAATCTACATGGACATGCTTTTCTCTCAATAATGAAGTTCAACCCATGAGGTTCATTAGTAGTTCAAAGAACATTCACAGACAATTGCATGTTTCTTTTCTGGAAAATTTGCTGACGCGATCGATATGTTCGTTTTGCAGCCGGGTTCGACTTCTGGGGCATGCTCTCCATAGAAAACAAGAATATCCTGAATAGAACAAAGGGAACTACAGTGACTGCTACAACTAGGAATAGTAAAACGCACACTGCAATTCATGACAAGCGTCCGACAAATGCAGGATTCAAATTAATTGTTGCTGCATTTTTGTTTTATGTAAGACTACAGTGACTCGGTCGGAATAGCAGAACCTACCAATCAAGAGAAATGAAAATGATATGCTGAAATAGAATTATATCTGTTATGTGCGATACAGACAGAAAAGAAAGCGTTAGTAAGGTAACACATCATTGTGTTTTTCATGCCCTGCAGATTGAGTTTGTGCTTACTTATCCAAATGGTACTCATTTCCTTTCTGGGGTACACATGGAGCACAAAATCGTATTATGTCAGTGATTGATACAATCGATCACATATGCGTAATCGGAGTTCCATTGCTTCTTGATATGAGAAGGGTCTCCCCTAATAAAAGGAGTTCTTCATAAGAGAAGGGTCTCAATGCTAGGCATAAGACTTTACAAATTCTGTATACTTGTTGTGGCATACTGCAAGTGGCTAATTAAATAAGTGGCATATTCAACATCAAATAACAATCTGCCACATCATTTAGTTTGATCAGTTTTAGCCGATCTAGCATTTCTCCTCACTATTTCTCACTTAGAGTTCGTTTGTTTCAAGGAAAACTATTTTCGGCAAACCGTTTTTTTGACTTTCCGGTGTTTAAATGATGAAAAACTAATCGATATATAAAAAACATTTTTCATGGACAGAAAACAACAAGCTTAGATAAGGAGATAACGATTTTCGCTTCTGGCAAGAAGAATATCAGTTTCCCTAAACTATCAAATAAATAAATACTAATATTTTTTAAAAAATGATTTCCATGAAAAATATTTTTTTAATATGTATCAAGTCAATCTCGAAATAATAAATTACAGTGTTGGAACTTGGAACCTTATGATTGGGGTTGGCCAAGGCCCAATGGTTATTGGTGGGCTGTTTGGGCCCCGAAATTTTTCCACTTTTGGAACTCTCTCATGCACGATGAAGATTTTTGATTCTCCATCGTCACTCTAAGCTAGGGTCACCCCGATCTGGGTGAGGTGTAGAATGTCGTATGGCTTTTGAAAACGATACATGCTAATGATATGGCATATAACCATTAACTGATGGTGAGAAAAATTTCCGCAAGGCATATATATATATATTCAGCTTTCTTTAAGGAAAAAATTCTTGGGTATGTTCACTTCCACTTCTGTGATGCGTAGAAGATAGCGAAAAGAGAATATGTGGTCGTCAAGGGGGGACGATGAGTATACAATATAAAAATAAAAAGGGAAAAAACCACCAAAAATCCCGAACTTTGCCATCTGTGACACATTTACCCTGAACTTTTTTTTGTGACACCAAAAACCCCAAATTATGCTATTTGTGACACATTTACCCAAATGTATTTAGTCCATGGGCATTTTCGTCTTTTTTGCTTTTTCTTTTTTTTTTTCTCTTTTTTTTTCCTTTTCGGCGAGGGCTGCCCTCGCCGGCGTCGGGCGAGGGTCGCCTCGCCCGGCGTCGGCGAGGGTCGCCCTCGCTCGCCCGGCGAGGGCCGCCCTCGCTCGACGCCGGCGAGGGCCCCCTCGCCGATCCGGCGAGGGTCGCCCTCGCCCGGGCGAGAGAGGGCGGCCCTCGCCCGACTCAGCGAGGGCGGCCCTCGCCCGACTCAGCGAGGTCGACCCTCGCTCGACACCGGCGAGGGTCGACCTCGCCCGAGCTGAGCGAGGGCCGCCCTCACTCGCCCGGGCAGGCGACCCTCGCCCGACGCCGGCGAGGGGGGCCCTCGCCGGATCTGGCGAGGGCCGTCCTTGCTCGACGCCGGCGAGGGCCCCCCTCGCCGGGTTGGGCGAGGGCAGCACCGGAAAGGAAAAAAAAAGAGAAAAAAAAAGAAAAAGAAAAAAAGACGAAAATGCCCATGGACTAAATACATTCGGGTAAATGTGTCACAAATAGCATAGTTTGAGATTTTTGGTCTCACAGAAAAAAGTTCAGGATAAATGTGTCACAGGTGGCAAAGTTTGGGGTTTTTGGTGGTTTTTTCCCAAATAAAAATGGTGCACAATCGGTAAAAGAGCGGGCTTTTGTTCGTTCTCGACAACATATGTTATTCACAAAGAAGGAAGTCGGTGGATGACTTTTCTTTCATATATCCATATTTCCACTTTTGCAGTGCAAGGGGGCACAGTATAAAAGAAACATAACATACAGAGAGAAGGGGGGGCTCCATACACGTAAACGAAGAGAGAAAACCTTGGAGAGAATTCTGGAACAGCGAACTTCTCGCCGTCGCACAGCTTGAACCACCAATTTCCAGTGAGAACAGCTTCAACATTGCGCAGGAATCAAACCCGCCGTGCCAAGTTTCCTCCTGCTGCCGTTGCTCTCCACCACCGTTAGTTCCGACACCTCCCAGCGAGGTCACAGCAAGCACTCCGGCAAGCTCGACTCAACAATGCTGCGACCTTCACTGTGAACAGAACCTACATTGGCCATCACGTCTGAGTTTGATTTTTGCAGGTTTTCTAGCGCTTGACAAAGTCCGTCGTTGCTGTTTTAATCTTGTCATCGCTGCCCTCCTTACCGGTCCTTGCCGTGAGTCTCGACATGAACCCGTTCCACCAGTCCAACGACCCACGAGTTACCACGATCACCGGTTCAGCCATCACAAGGCAGCCCTTTTTTAGCAATAACAAGTAACTTCATTGAGTTCATCACTACTTATTTGATTGTCACAGCTCTTTGCTCGGACATCGCCACCGCCAGTCCACCAGCAGCCCTCCTTGTACACAGGCATTCACCAAGGTCCTCGCCTGTCCCGTATTCGGCAACAAAGGTAGTTTCCTAAGCCTAATTCGATTCACATATGTGGTTGCCTAATTGGAGTTTATTAAAACTAATTCGACTTCCTCGATATTTTTAGGCATTATTCGATTAGGAAAGTTTCCGTATTGAAAATCTCAATAATTATAAGAATTTGAGCGGCGAAATGTCGGATCGGATTTTTGATTATTTTTTATATCTTGTTTTCGTTGTGGTGAATACATGGTTTATATGGGCTTATCATATTGCATGTTTTTAATTTAGTGAATTGTCATATTATGAAAAATATTTATTGACACCTAAATTTTGGCGACCCATTTAAGAACTTATTGCATAAAAAATTAGGGATTGATTCCGGTCATAAACAAAAAATATTAAATTTAAATTGCATATAGATATTATGAGCATTTGTATTAATAATTGATTAAGACCATAGAGTTTGCATATTTAGGTTGCGAATGACAAGCATTCTATTTCATAAATTAATTTTTGGCCAGAAATAAATTTTTTTATTTCTATTTCTATTTCTATTTCTGGACAAGTTTCTGAGCAAAAAACACGTTTAATAACGATATAAAATTTCTGTTCCCGAAACAAAATTTTGTTGATAACGACACAAAATTTCTTCCTCTCAGGTGACCGGCGAGTGGACGGTGAGCGGATGGCGACGGCGGGGGCAGACAGTGGTAGCGAATGGCGGGTGGTGGGGGGAGGCAGCGGCAGATGGCGACGTGGCCAATGCAGAAGACGGTGGCTGGAGGAGGCCGGCGTTGGGCAGCGGCAGGAGGTGAGCAACGGTCGGCGGCGGGAGGGGGGCGGCGGCGGCGGGAGGAGGGCGGACGGGGGCAACAGGTGGTGGATGGTGAAGGGAGGCGGCGGCGGATGGTGACACGGCTAGTGCGGAGGATGGCGGTTGGAGGAGGCTAGCGTCGGGCAGCGACAGGAGGCAAGTGACAACCGGCGACGGGAGGCGAGCGGCCAACGACAGGAGACGGTGGCCGGCGGCCCATGGCGACCCTTGGAGGGAGATGGCGAACAGCGGGAGGCGACGACTGACAAGTGACTTGCGATGAGCAGTGGGTGGACGACCGGCTAGTAGTGAGGGTGAGCGATGGGAAGAATTTTTCATTTTTATTTCAGAAATAAAAAAGTAGAAAATTTTTACTTCTCATTTCTATTTCAAATCTATTTTTGAAATCAAAATTTGTTTCAGAAATTGAAAAATAAAATTGCGTTACCAAACGGATTTCTGTTCCAAACTTGTTTCCGGAACAGAAAAATAGAAACAGAATGGTTATCATTTGCAGTCTTAGTGAACTGGCGGTGGATCGACTTAAGTGAGCGGTTTTAATTGGACTGAGCATATAAGAGAAAAGATTCAGCCAAAGCCCCTTAAAATTGTTGGTGGCCGAAATTTCGTCACGAGACCCAAGTTGGAATAATTGATTTATTAAATAAGCATTTCTTTGAAAATAATTCAGAAAATTGCTTAAGTTGGATTAGGAAATAAAAACCCTAGCTTTGTTCTTACAAATATGTGTTTTAGGGTTCACAAAAGAGGAGGCCACACAATTCACGGCTAGAGAATAGAGAGTGGGGTATGCTCTCTTGTTTTGCTGACCTTGCCTCCACGTTTTTTATTCACTATGGAGCAACACCTCCACCATTTCTTTGCTGCTGCTATGCTCGTCTTAACGCCATCGCTGGTCTGATCCCGGCCCGATGTCCTTAAGCAAAGACCAGCATCGTCTCGAGCCCCATCGACTCCTTGCTGCAATTGGACACCCTCAAGCCGAACTCTGACGAATCTCCAGCACACTAGTCACTAGTTCCAGCATCTCCAGGCCAGCTTCAACGAATCCAGGCTGAACTCCGGCTACCCCTGTGCAGTCCCGTCGGTTGCCACTTCGTTGCTCTGTTTCTTCGTCGAACTTGGGCTCTGTTTTGCAGGTTTATCTAACGCTGATTCAGAGTTGATCGTTTCTTATCGCTGCTCTAGCAGTGGCACCACAGCAGCACCTTCCGAATCACCACGACGAGCACACCGTACCGTGACACCCTGCTGCACCGAGCTTCGATCAGCAACCAAGACCGAGAGCACCACTATGAGCCGTCCAGCAAACCTTGATCGTGGGCCCCTTGGCCGGGCACCATCACCGCCGGTTGCCTTCATCATCCGTCGAGTTCGAATTTGGAAACTTATCTACTCAATATTTTTGAGTTAGGTAATTATCTCATTTGATATCAATTTAAATATTCTGTGATTTAATTTGATTGATATTTTCATCTAATTCCCTAATTTGAGTGATTATATGTATATGTAAAATATTCGAGTATCCTTAAAATTAGGATTATTTCTTAATTTAACAACGTTCTCGGCTGGACGAAAAATCTTTCATCATATCCATAACCACTTGGATACGATTATTGATTTATTTTGTTTCCAAATTTAAACAGAAAACCTTACATAAATATTCATAATCACTTGATTATGATCGCTGGTTCATTCTGTTTCCAACTTTAAACAGATAAGATACATTTTGCGGATTGCATGGATGTTATCAAATGCGGTGATTATCTTTTATTTGATTGTTTCTGTATTCCTGATAGATAACTTTGCATGTTGAGAGTAGATTTGATTTGTTTTCCTTGAATAAATTAGGATAGTTTTGATAGGAGTCTCGTTTAAATTGATTCTAGAAGATTAGAATTATATTCTAGTTTAAATTATGATTTAACGTAGATTACTTCTTAGTCTAAGGCTCCATTCGTTTCGCGGAAAATGTTTTCCAAGAAAATATTTTTCGGGTTTTCCGGTGTTTGGGGGCTGAAAATAAACTAACCCCGCAAAACATTTTCCCTCAATGAGTGAAAACATGAAGAAAAGTAAGGAAAATATTTTCCACTTTTGAAAAGCGGAAAACATTTTCTACCGGCCTCCTTCTTTCCCCGCTGGTTGTCGGGGCCACTGCCGACCGCTAGCCGCTGCTGCCGATCGCCGACCACCGACCCCTGCTGCCGGTCGCCAGTAGCCGAACACCGAAAAATATTTTCCGAAACTTTTTCAGATTTCAGCCGAACACCGAAAAATAATGCCATTTTCCAGGAAAATGACTTTTCGGAAAACATTTTCCAAAAATGTCACATTTTCTATCAAATGAACGGAGCCTGAGTTAGAAATCTTTCTAATCTTGATAGTGTATTTAGGGTAATTTTCAATTCCGAATTTACTAAAAAATACCAAAAACATTGTCTTAGAATAGATTAGGTTTCTTTCCTTAGTCTAAATTGCATGTTTAAATAATGGTATTTTTAATTACGAATTTTAATTAAAAAATACAAAAATATTTTATGTGCCTGTCATATAGAATTAGATTCATTAGCCCCACATCATTTAGTAATGGCATGTTTAGGGTCATTAAATTAAAATGCGTGATATGGTAGGATAGTTTCATATTAATTGAGTTATGTCACGCCCCGAACCCCTACGGCATGCGACACCGCCTCTGGTAGATTCAAGCGACGTCCCAGGAATATCGCTGACCTCAAAACCCCATCAGAGATTTACTACCACAGCGGATATCAACAATTAAACCCGGACAATTAAAACTGGAGAGAAAAATCAGGGAGAATATACATATCTTTTTCATTTCCTTCTTATACCATAACATTTACATTTATAAACTGTCACATACATGTACATGCATATCGCCTTTCTCAAAAACCGATACTCCAAGGATGAAAACTTGAGTTTACTACTACTCCAAAAATGGTGCTCGCCAAAAACCCATTCTGAGTCTGATTCCTTGTCCTCTGAGTCTGAGTCCCTTTATACCGTCCCATCCACTGAGGACTCCAAAACGTTCTGGTGGCGGTGGCGGAAGATTCATGGGTCCTGTCGGGGTTCTGAAATTGTTGGTTGAAACAACCGTGAGAACACTTCTCAGTAAGTTCACCCCTAAACCCAACCTAGGCTAGGCTAGCATGCAATCTCCTGACTGGAAACAATTATTCAAATCACAATACCACAATAGTCAGACAATTATCTGACCCTGCAGGTTAGGCAGATCAACATACAATAGTCACGGCACATGCGTGGCACGCATAATCACACGTATGTCAATCACACGTTCATGCACCGATTCTCATACATTCGCATGCCAGTCTATGCATGTTCCATGCATGCAAATGTCGTCTACATGTCATACGCATTCTCCGGCCCACTGGCCCACACTGCACACTGGCAATTTCCCAATTTATTATTAATTACGACTCGAGTCCACATTATTAACGGCCCGGTGCGTCTAGCCTGCTTCAAAGTGCATGAGGCGCAGCAACCGATCTGGCCAGTGTCTCTAGCCTGCTTCAAAGTGCATGAGGCGCAACACTGATCTCCTTACGAACCAGAGCCTGCTTCAAAGTGCATGAGGATGGTCGTCTTCTGGACGTACCGGGCATCGTCCTGCTTCAAAGTGCATGAGGACGGTATCGACCCGAAGGTCACGACCCGAAGGTCCTTCGGTGATCACACAACTTTTTATTATCTGAACCTAGCGTATAACGCTTCAGGGCATTTTAGGTGATCACATGCTCATGGCAGACACGCATTCTCACACAATTTCATCACATACCTCACTCTCGGCATACACAATGCGTGTCCATGTTATGCAATGCAATGCACCATGAGCGCCAATTAAATTCAAACACTCAATATCACCACACGCTGAAACATCACATTGCAGGCACAACAAATAATATTGCCAGGCTCAAACATGCGCACAACATCATTCAAACTCAATCCTGTCAGATGTAAACACGCGCATATACCACTCTTATCCCATTATTCCGTCCATTCTCATTTCCTCTTTCTCATTCTTCGCCAGTGACCCGCGTAAACGTACACGCCTCAGGTACACTGCGACCACTCACCACATCCGGCCCGCGTACTCGTTCACGCCTCAGGCCCCTCGATCGCGCCCCGAGCATCACACGCCTCGGTCCGATCCCACATTCACTTTCTCATGCCATTGCCTCAAATTCCGTGCACACTTGCACCCCATACTTCACCGCATCACCATTTTCACACAAAAGCACATTTTCGCATAAAACAACATTTTTCTTTGTTCAAATGTTTTCAAATCATTTTCAGCCCGTCACGGGATTTTCATAAAATTCCAAGACGGACCTAACGGTACCGAACACGCATCAAACGACTCACCACAGCTCGTGAACAGTAATTTCTGCACTCAAACCACAAAATCACACCACCGACTCTTCCCGACACTTACATAAAACTCCGAGCCGGACTCAACGGTATCATTCTCGTACCCAACAGCACGCCACAGCATACTCAACTTAATTACTACAATTTACTAATAATTTAAATATGCATCCAATACGATAATTCCCATTTTTCTCCAACCAAACGGCGTCGGATTAATTCCGATCCTTCACGGGACTTTCTAGCCATAATATCTAGGTTCCAAAAATTCAACTTGCGTCCCAATCGGACCATCACAGCTCGGTGAACAGTAATCCACAGCCAGTGAACAGTGATTCGAGGCATATGAACAGTAATTCGCAGCCCCTAATTTTCTGAATTTCCAATAAATATTACCCGAATTAATTCGTAAGGCCCGCCATAAAATTTTCACCCCCTATCCATGTAATTCCGCACCTAATTTCATACTGATTTCGTCCGAATTTACCCGTCGATATCCGAAGTCCTAAATTAGGTTTAGGCGCGACTTACCCGCGTTGGCTAACTCAGCATATCACATGGTCAATTGAACAATCATTTCAATTGAACCCAAACGTGCACGAATCAAACATATTTACACCAGCCCATTGCACAGATGCACACACAATTCTACCACCACAACTCAATTATAATTAAAACACACGTAAAACACATAAATTTCTATTTTTCTCCCACCAAACGACGCCAAATTGATTCCGGTCCTTCATGGGACTTCCTCGCCATTAAATACCGGTTCTAAAAATCCAACTTGCGTCCTGAACCGAGCATCACAGCCTTGTGAACAGTAAATCACAGCTCGTGAACAGTGATTCGCAGCATATGAACAGTGATTCACAGTTTCAATTTCACCTTAAATTGTTCTCCAAAAA